GTGTCCAACTCCACAACATCCACTTCAACTTTTCATCTTTAAACAACTTATTATTTTATATGTTAAAAAATGTATTGCCTTGATTATAAGAGAAGCGTATACGTCATATGTACTGATTAGATATCAAGTCCAATGTTGTTTAATTAATTTGTAGTTGATATGTTTAATTAATTAAGGACCCAAGTAATTTCCCTAAAATGAAAGACATCAAATATATATTTATGATTGAAAAAAAAATATATATGAACAATGACATTAGATGTCAAATTATTGCATTTTGACTTTTGAGAAAGAAAAAAAATGTTAAGTGGGCCGTGCTTGAATCGTGCTCGGGCCAAGCCCGGCCAATGTCGGGCCATGGGCCGGCCCGGTCCATTGGACCTCATTTTTTGATCCTGGCCCGGCCCAAGTTTTCGTGTCGTGCCAAGCACGGCCCATTAATATTCGTGCTCGTGTCATGCCGGGCCTCATTTAAACGGGCTGGGCTCTTGCCGTGCTGGGCCTGCCCATCCTATTTGACACCTTCTTTGCTAATATTGGAACTGGAAATATTGTGGAGGCTGAGTTATGGAGTCCTTTTAGAGTTGCAAATGGCTTGGGCAAACGGAACTAGGTTCCTTGATGTTGAATGCGACTCTTTATCTTGTGTTTCTCTAATTACTAAGGCTTCTGAACAAGCTCACCTTTTTTTTGGCCTGATTGAAGATTGCAAATAATCATACTCACAACCAAATGGAATCAACAACTAGTGTGTGATTCTCTCAAATGATGATCTCCACCCAAACAAAGGAGAGAGCTTTATGTCTTGAACCAAATGGTGGCTACCAACAACTCTAAACTCTCTTCACCACTTGTTGCAAATAAATCACTTTCATTAGTAATCATATTTTAATTATTATTTCTGTAGTGAATAATTAGTTTTAAATATTTAATTAACTTCATAAATTATTATTTGATAAATAGTAATAAGTTATTTTAATATTAATTATTCACTAAGTAAATAATAATAAAAAGATAGTAGGCTTATGGATAGGGTTCGAGGCTTGAGAAAGGTTTTGGAACAAGTTTGGAAGCTAGGGTTTTTGGTTCGAGACTTGGATTTGCTCAAACTAATTTTGTATATAATAATTAATTAATAATAATTAAGTAATTTATTAAATCAGTAAAATATTTAAATATTCTCTAATAGATCAATAATTCAAACGTAATTACTAATTAAAGGAATTAAAAAAGGAAGAAGTAAAGAAAGTAATTTTATATCCTGTTTAAAGCGTATAGCCGGGCGGCTATACGGCTTAAATATTTCACTTATAATAGTATCGCCGTACGGCTTTACCCATAAAATATATATTTTCGGTATAGCCCTGCGGCCTGAGGTTTAAAATATTTGTTCAAAGAGTATAGCCGGCCGGCTATACGATTATCTATATTGATCTATATACGGCTTAAATATTTCACTTATAACAGTATAGCCGTACGGCTTTACCCATAAAATATCTATTTTCGGGTATAGCCGTTAGACGTTTAAAATATTTGTTCAAAGCGTATAGCCGGCCGGCTATACGATTATCTATATTGATCTATAGCCGCCCGGCTGTACTGTCATTAGTAATTAACTAATATCTTAGCCTTATTTAATCACTTTCATTAGTAATTATATATTAACTATTATTTCTGTAGTGAATAATTAGTTTTAAATATTTTAATTAACTTCATAAATTATATTACTTGATAAATAGTATTTAAAAAAATTTCCATTTTTTAAAATAATTTTTTTAATATTAATTATTCACTAAGTAAATAATAATTAAAAGATAATGGGCTTGTGGATATGATTCAAGGCTCAAAAAAGGTTTTGGAACAACTTCAGAAGCTAGGGTTTTTGGTTTGCGACTTGAATTTGTTCAAACTAATTTTGTATATAATTAAGTAATTTATTAAATCACTAAAATATTTAAATATTCTCTAATGAATCAATAATTAAAACATAATTACTAATTAAAGGAATTAAAAAAATACTAAAATACTACTTACTACATATATTAAATTAAAGAAGTTCACTAAATAAAAAAGTAAAGAAACTAATTTTATATTATGTTTCTAGAGTATAGCCGGGCGGCTATAAGGCTAAAATATTCTACTTATAGTATAGCGTTAGGCTTTACTAATAAAATTATCTATTTTGGGGTATAGCCGTTCGGCTTGACCGATAAAATTTCTATTTATGGAGTATAGCCGGCCGGCTTCACGTTTAAAATGTTTACTTAAAGAGTAGCTGCGCGGCCAAAAAAGTTCCAACATAAAAACCACAAGCAAGGGCGAAACTTCATACAAGGCTACCTTGGGATGTAGCCCATGTAGCTTTATGAAGAAAAAACAAAGAACTTATATAGCCCATCAACTTCCCTTCCCACTTGTTGGGGCTATCGTTTTATTGTCTTCTTGGTGGTTTCCCACTATTTCTATGAAGACATCTTTTCATACCCAACAAAAAATAAAAAAAATCCAACACATTAATTGGGAAATATTATTTTTTCTGAAGTCTGTTTGTATTTAGCAGAGAATATATTTGAACAAGTTGGTCCCTTGTAAGGAACCTGTTTAGTATGTTTAAGAAGTACCCTAGTCGGTCCTTAAAAGAACTAGATATATGTGAAACTTATTTATTTTTAAAATATAATAAAATAATATGATATTTGACATTTCGAATGGAGTTAAATTTGACATAAACTTTCAAATTAGTACACAAACCATAAAATTCAAAGTTAACATCTTGTATTTGACATATGCGTTGAAGATGCTCTATCAAGAAAATTTCCCTTTTTGACATGTTTTCAATGTCCCTGCCTAAGGAGTTAAAAAATGGATGGTGATTGGGCTTGGTGGTGGAAGGAAGGTGGTGCGTTAATGGTGGGACGAGCAGTTTGGTGAAACCTCATTAGGGAGGGAGGTTGGTCTTTCACCCCTCAAAACACATTTGACAAAAAGAAAAGCTTTTATTAAGAATTAGCCTAACTTCTAGTGTTTGGTAAGGGCATTGACATGTTTGGGAAGAAAGGTCAAGCCAATAAAATCAGTTACAATCTCATTGACACCCCTAATTTGGTCTAATTAATTAGATCTTACAATCAGTTACATAATCAAAAACAGAATAACCAAAATGAACATTGAATAATAAATTAGTTGGGAATAGGTCTGCATTCACAACACAAAAGAGGGAAATATTAATTTTGTAATTCCTTATTTACAACATGCAAACTAAAATTTGGTTACCAATTTTCAATACTATAAACTAGTTTTTTTCTTTTTCTTTTGTTGGTAGATGATATATCATGCATTGTATTGGCAATATTGGCAATATTATCTTTTTGACGTTTCTTGAGAATTTGATAAAGTTATTTCCCTATGCATGATCTTGCCCTATACTGTGATCTAGTTGTATTTTGAAAGATAAGCTTACCATTTACTGGAATATATGTATATATATATATATATATATTAATACAAGTGATACTCGGGATTGGAGAATCGAACCTATAATCTTGTGTGCTGAAATAAATACTCTTAACTATTTGAGTTACAAACCCATTTCTTATTTATTGGAAGTTTAAATTTGGTAAAAGTAGGTGACAATTCACAAGTGGCGAAACAAAGGAGGTAAAAGCAATTTTACCTTTGAGATACAAAGGATTTAGCCAGATACTACGGAAGAGGCAAAGTAAATAGCATTTTTCGCAAGAGACAAAAATGTTAATCGTAGACTCGTAGGTGCAATCTTCCCATCTTTTTATAAGTGTCAGTGTCAATCTCAAAATCCAGTCAATAGTCAAAATTATTTTTCCAAAAAATTATTGGGAAAGTCACTAATTATGCCGAATATAGGAGTTTAAGGGTCAGTTTGGCATTGCTGTATTGTGAAAATAATCGTTGTAAGATTTGTTATAAGATAAAATCAATTATGAGAGAAAGTATTTTGGCTTTTGGTAAACTTTTTGTTAAAAGTGTTATTGGAAAATATTCTTACATAATCACAAAATGAAAGCACCTCATCAGCTGCTTTCCTTTATAACTTCTCTCACAACAATTTTTAACAATAAGTAATTTTCTTATAGTTTACTAAACGGATTGGGCTTCCCAAATTTTTTTAAAAATCACTTCTCACCCAAATAAGCAATGCCAAAAGGGTACTAAGTTATATAATAATAAAAAATCATATATAAAACAGATTTCAGAAACACACCCAAAGCTTATTTACAATATAACAAAGAGACTTTTAACTTCTTATAAATTACAAAATTGTCATCGATTTCTTAAAACAATCAAAACCCCAAAATCTCATTTTTTAAAAATCAAAAATACTTAATAGGGTATCAAAGTAATTTAATAATCAAAATTAAATTCAATAGAGCAAGCTGTCATTTTTTGAGTTTGTTTATATAAATTAAATTGTGTAGAATTTATCTGTACATTTTATCTCAAAATTATTCAGATTTGATTATAACAGTCATATTGTCACGTGGTGTTGTTGTTACTATGACACTTCTATTTATATATGAATACAGTATAAAATATGTGAATCATGCCGTCTATAAATAGTAACACGAACGATGTAAATCAAACATATACATTGTGAAATTTGTTTATATGTGCAATATAAATCAGAAGCAAAGCCTTAAATTTTGATCAGATCGATCATTGAACCTGAGCTTTATGATCCAGTGGGGTCCCCTTCCCCAAGAGTCCCCACTCCTCTGTAGAGCCAACCTAGGTGGTTTTGCAGATCGAACACGTCTGCTGCCATTATATTTGCTTTTCTTTTTTCTTCTGCAGTTCGGTGTTCAACCATAATATGCCTTTCATTTTCTTCACCATCTTAAGTACGCATCCCTCTTCATCACCACCACTATCTCAACGTTGACATAGAATCTACACTATATTATAAGCACCCAGCAGCACCCTTCTTCTTCCTCTAATTTCCTCTGCACACCCAACTATTGGCTCTGAAATTTCCAGCTTCCATAATTCTATTTATTTAATTTTAATTTTAATATTTTTTTTTCTTGGGTTTCTTGGTATTGGATTGGGCGATCGAGATCTTTGCGTTTGTCAGTTTGTCACATCCCTTTGATTCTTGACGTGCGTTGGTGAACGTGAAAGGGTCAGAGACCATTAACTGGGTGTGCAGAGTAAAAGGCCTTCCCTAATAATAGGGGACCCCCAAAACCTCAGCCTCCACGTCACCTTCTGTCACCGTACCCCCCTCTATTCATATTTAGAGCTCCATAGAGCATAAGCATACCCTTCATTAAAGTTTCATTTTGCACCTTAAACACCCAAAAACAGAGCAACCCAACAAAAAACAGAGCAAATCAACAAAAGGGTTCTTATAAATTTGGAGTCTTGAGATCACATTCGAGATGGGTAATTGCCAAGCGGCGGAGGCGGCGACGGTGCTGATTCAGCACCCGGGAGGCAACAAGGTCGAGAGAATTTACTGGTCTGTGAGCGCCCATGAGGTCATGACTTCCAACCCAGGCCACTACGTGGCTCTTCTCATCGCCTCTCCCACCATGAAGTCTGAGAATGGGGCCTCTGTGAAGCAGCTCAAGCTTCTCAGACCAGACGACACTCTGCTTATTGGACAGGTTTATCGCCTCATAAGTTTCGAAGGTCAATGTTTATCGCCACGCTTTTTATTTGCCTCTTGCTTTGTTTAGGACGAAATGTTTTTAAAAAGAAATTTCTCTCTTTTGTTATATGTGTACAGATGTGTTGAAGGAGTTTGCGGCTAAAAAGTCTGTGAAGCTGGGGAAATTGCTGAAGGATACAGGCGGCCCTGGCCTGGAAATGAGGATGAAAGACTTGGGTGGTCCGAATCCAAATCCAAATTTGAAGTCCGAGAACCACAACTCCATCAAGGTAACCATGCAAAATTTTACAATTTTTTGTTTAAAATAATCTAATTTATGTCGCACTCATTGCTCTGACTCTGAGTAACAAATCTAACCTACGTCTATAAAAAATTTACACTTTTGAAGACCTATAATTATTGTTGAATCATATGAGCTCATAATACTCATTTGGGAAGTTTTGGTGATTCAAAATTTGATGTCATAAACTCATATAATATGAAGCTCGGATATCAAGCATTTTGTAGGACTTTGTTTGTGGTTGGTTTATAGGGCATATTGTAGACCCTATGCTTGTGGTTGGTTTGTAGGGCATCTTCTTTTTATTTGTCATTTCAACTCATCAAAGCATCTTTTCAATCCAAAGGGTTTTACAGAAGGTCAGAGATGTTGAGTTTTCTGAAGTTTCCGACTGGTGAATTAAGTAAATTATCGTCTGTAATTCGAAGAATCTGATCTTACTTTAAACCCACGGATCTCAAGGCGTGTGGGTTTTTTTGGTAACACGTTTTATTTTTGTCAGAAACTTTCTCAGGATAGAAATATATGTAAGAATCTTTAGTTTTTGCAACGGCTGTATATATAACGCTTCAAAAATATAAAAAAAAATACGGTCACGTGATATAACTTGTTTATGTATCAAAATGTGAATTATGAATAGCAAGAAAATTTTCCATACCAGACTGCATTGTTAGGGTATTAGCCATTAGGAATTTTATGTTGCCATATTTGACAATAAGGAATGGTGGCCACCACTATGTACGATGCAACTAACAATGCAATGAATTTAAAGTGCATAACATGTGGGCCAGAAAAGAAAAAAAAAAGCTACACGTTTTCAGTTTGTAAAAGTTCTTTTTCTTGTTTTGTTTTAGGGTTGGTTTCTAAGGGCACGTACAATTATTGGCATGGGCTTTGTCATGAACTCACCTTTTGATTTGCGAAATTTCCACTTGATTATTCATACATTTGAATATTTTTTGGTGGGGCTGGGAATTCACTTACCCTTTACCCATATTGGCACTGATTGAAGTAGTTATCAACTCCTAACCACATGACCAAATTATGCTTTTCTTAGAACACACTGTTTAATATTTGAGTTAGACGTACTTCTAGGTAAGACGTACTTCTAGGTAAACAGGTTTAGTTGGGTTGGGTGACCTTCAAAACTTGCTTAACATTATATTAATGAAACAGAAAGTTGTCACTAACAAGGACATATACACATCTAATGTTTTTTAAATTTATTTTATCTACATCCTATTTAATGCGTTGAGAAAATTGTATTTCTACTTAATTTTATTCAACTTTGATATCAAATAGACATAATGCTTTGAGAAAGTTGTCAAACTATTGTTAATAACTTTTGGATTTATCCCAAATTATCTATATTAGGGTAGAAAACCATCATTTAGAGCTTGAACTTGAGTTTTCAACTCTTATAATCGAACCTCTTCAGAATTTTTGTTTGTATGAATTGTCATTGTCTCATGGTGCGTGCGTGCGTGTAAATATTGCACATGCTCAAATATCTCCTTTACTTATCATTTTCAATTATTTTTTTTGGCAGATGGAGCGTGTGAGAAGCAATGGTGGCAGCAGTAGCACAAGCAGCAGCTTCAGAAATGTGGCAAGGAATCATGGAGGTGGAGGTGGAGGTGGAGGTGGTGGTGTTGGGGGGCAATGGAGGCCAGCCTTGCAGAGCATTGCAGAGATTGGAACTTGAAATATATATACGCACCACATGTACGATCATGAATCATGATCTCATCAGAGCCCTTGATTTCTCTGCATGTCAATCTCTCTCCCACCAATAAATTCGAAAAACCATCAGAGCAGCGCAGCAGCTCTTTTCAGTACCTTCATATTCTCTTTTGCTTTTTTAGACAATAGGCCTTTGCTAGCTATAGTCCGATAGGGTTCCAGTGTTTGATGTATGTAACTCGTTCAACTTGGACACGTATACGACTCTTGCAGATTAGATTAACCCTTTGCTTTAACTGTAATTAGCTGCAAGTCATGCACTTAATTTCCATTTTGTTAGGTTAATTAACTTCGGTTTTTCACCATCGTAGGTAGGTCCGCCAAACAACATAAGTCTAGTAAGAGAATATTAACACGCTAGATGGTTGAAATTGCTGCAGTAGTAGCACTGGTCCTGATCTTACAAACTGATTAATTGATGAATTAAATGGATTGGATGGGGTGCTGCAGTTTCAAAAGAAAGTGTGTTTAATAAGCAAGTTTTTGAAAGACTTGCTTCAAAGACTTGCATTGGCATTTACTTCCCCATACTGCACTGCATGCAACTGCAAAGGCTGATGGTCGGATGCAGAAGAGCTTTAATTTGCATTATTATGTGATGTATTGGGTTCAATAATCTCATCCACAGCCAGAGTATCCTACCGGCATTTCCCGCAAATGCATGAAGTCATTTTTGCTTTCTTGGACGTTCTTAATTATTTTCTGTGTGATTTATGGCTCTACAGTGCAACTGTTCCACGGTGACAAGACGGCATAGACTTATAGATATAAAGATTGAATTTTACTGTGAGCCATTCAACTGGTACATGTAAAAATATTTAAAAATATTTGATGAAGAATACATTATTCTATTAGGGTTGTGGTCAAATGAGTCGAATGTGCCTTTTACAGTGCACTACAAAACAAAGAACTGCCAATAGGTTTTATTTTTTTCCTAGTGCTCCGTCCACTAACTTCCTCTTTGCAAAAAGGTGTACAATTAGCAAGCTCATGGTTCTTTGATTGAATCATTGAACAATGATTCAATTCTCCTTGTCAACTGTTGTTGATGCACATGCACCCATCTTAAATTACATCTTTATTCTTTAAAACTCAGTAGAAATATGTAAAGAGTTTGTAGATTAAGCAATTAAGAGCAGTTATCTTTGCATTTGAGGTATTGTCTTCTAATCTTTCATTCCCAAATATCTCTTGTATAAAAGAAAAAACTTAGTACAAACTTTGTTCTTTATAGTTGCAAATTTTCTTCTTTCGGTTACTTGGTTGGTGGTAGCATGGACTAAAATATTATTATCATTTATATCGAGAAAATATTGATGTCGACAATTTATCAAAGAGCACACACGCAAAGGGGGTTTCGAACCCTTGCCATTCAACTTCTCCGACGCCTTAACCACCATTTTGTTGATGTTTTTGTGTTAATAAGCTAAACTATTTATATTTATAGTCTTTTTTCGAGCTGTTTTTTAAATAATTAGATTTTTAGGTGAGCATATGACCTTTCCTTTTCAACTACTCACCACCTTTTCACAAAGTACTCTTACTCTACACATAGAGATGATAAAGATAGTGAAAATTTTGAACCTCATAGGAACTCTATGTGGTACTAAGTCACTCATATATCTTACCATGCAATGTGTACAGTGTAAAATGCTGTAGCAAATCATTATAAATAAATGATTATGACATATTTAATCCTTTTTCATTAATTACTACATATTTAATACATTCACAGTGTTTTTCAGCTCACTATATAATCAACTTAAATCAATTAAACCCAACATGCAACGCATTTCCTTCCATTTTTTGTTTTTGTTTTTTTTTGTTTTGTGATAAACTAATAGATAATTGACTAAATAAACATCTTCCAAAGTTTCAATAAAAATTTCCAAGTTTTTATTCAATTTTTACCGATATCGATAGTTTCTTGATATTTCCATCAAAATTTCTGTGTTTTTGGACCACTGATATTTCCGAAATAATAGATATTTTAGACATTGGGTGGTAGTAAATGCCAAGACAACTATTGAACTATCATTCTTTTATTTACACATGGAAATTGGTTCATGTCAATTTCGAAATTCTGACTATTGTCAAAATCCCAAATTTATTTCCCTCATTCAAATGCACCGTTATTTATTTATTTATAATTTGGCCAGAAGAAAGGAACTATCATTCTAGGGCTTTATCATATTTCTTCACATTCCATTTACTGCAGCCTGGGCTTCAAGCGGGATTTAATCCAAATTCCAATTGTTAATCCGGCCCTTAAAGACTACATATATATATATATATATATTTTTAACAAAGCCCAGCCTGCTAATATCAAACACGTCTCAGCCACGGCTCACTAGCGTCGGTTGGGCCCAATATAAAAGAAAAGATTCTATCCGTTTCAAAATAGCAAACTCCCTTCTTGCCAACGGAATTTCAACGCGCGCCTTTTCCCCCATCTTCTTCTCTGTTACTCGGAACAACCAAGAAACCATGGGCCTGCGTTCTCTGGCTCCTGTTCTTCTCACTCCCGTTTTCGTCCTCTGTGGAACCATCCACTGAGCTTTCTTTAGGTACTTTTTTTTCCATTAATCTTCACATTTTATTGCGCTTATCCACACTATGAAGTTATAAAATCTAGGGCTTTTATTACTATAAACAGAAATTTGAAACCCTGAAATTAATGTTTTGTTTTTAATGTTTGTGTTGTTGGGCTGCTGAGCTTACTGAGGAAAAAGAAGAAAGTTGAAATTTTGAATCTTTTGCTACGAATTTGCCAAGAATACGAACTCAAAATATAGGTTTTCCATGTAAAATGGGAGGAGACTCGTTTATTTGGTTACTTAATTTTTCTTAAGAATCAAGACAATGGGAAATTTCAAATTTTGGTTTGGTGTTGCATTTTCCTTGTGGCAACGGAAGTATTTTCTGATTTTCTGAATATAAATTTTTGGGATTTCTTACATATTACTATATATTTTGGTTTAAGATACCAAGTATTTTTGTTTTGCTTACTACTTCCATGGGATCTTGTGTGTGTGTGTGTAATGCTTGATTATATCAGTTTATTCTTTCTGATACCACTGCTACATTATAGGTGTCGAATGTATTAAAGTGGGATTTTCTTTTCGGAACCAAAATGTGCCTCCTAGATGAAAGCTTTTGGTAGGACTCAAGATCCCACATTGGAAAAATAACCTGTCCTAGGGTGGTTTAAGAGCTCTTGGGCACCCTTCCTTTACAAGCCGGTTTTAGGGGCAAGTTCTACCCATGGGCTCTTAACAGATTTGCTGGACATCTTATGGAGATTAGTTCCTTTAGGCAGATGTCAATGACCTATTTCATGTTGACTGATAAGTTTTACACTTTGGGCACTCATACCCCTTTCTTATGTTTTTCGTTTGCAGTTGCTGCCGAGTCTGCTAGGTTACAATTATCTCATGGCATGCCAGTAAAAAATTCTCCTGGTTCCAAGCCTGGTACTTTAGTGTTGTGTGAAAGAGTTCATATCCGTGGATTGTCAAGGCTTAAATATCTTGGAAAGTTTGCCAACACTGCGAAGCTGAAGATATCAGCAACAAATTCAAGCATTCGCATACCGGCCATTGAGGTTTGTCTCCACAGGTGAGTCATCAATATTGTGGGCCTTATAAGTTGTTAATACTAATTGCTTGTCATGCATTGTGCATGCAGGACTTATTTAACTGAATGGATATGATAATGTCAACGTCTCTGAATTTTGTTCTGTTATAATGAAACATTTTATCATACTGTTAGATTTATGATTGTCAAGTGCATATGCTTGGTAGAGTTTCTTGTGTGCTTTATAGTGTATATTTCCAGTTATGGCATTGTTAAAATTATAGTGAAAGTTTACAAGTGCCTTATTTTATTTCATTACAAATGTATTTTGAACTTCTATTTTCATATTCTGACCAGAATGCATCAGCTATCAACCGAGAATTTTGTTTCTCGTAATGTAATCCCCAGCTTGGAATAAAGATTTAGTTTTGATAGAAAACAGAAACAGTGAAGAATACAGTACCAGTGCATTTATTTTTTACATAAGAAATTTTTTAATATTTTGTTGCAGAAATACATCTCTGGGGATAGGGATGTGCCCTCACAGCCAGTGGGAGAAGGTTGCCAAGGGCTCCTGGTCTGGGTCCATGTCACCCTTTGAGGACAAACTCTTAGATATACGGACAGCTGGTTCATCGTTAGAGAGCTTTGAGGTGTCCATTGAAGAAGGTAACTCTTCTTAGTCTAATAACATATAACTTTACCTCTTACTCTAATCCTTACATTTAGTGATCATTTCACTAATGTTATATTTTGCAGAATTTTTTAGGTATCGCCTAATATTTTTGATATTGGGCATAATCATTATGAGCTTGGCGTCCCTCCTGAGCAAATCATTAGTATTTTATTACAGCAGTGGAATGGCAATAGGGGTGGTCCTTGTCATCTTGATTGTACTTTTTCAGGTAATGTAATCTTCTTTTCCAGTACTAATCATGTCATGTTTATTTTATGTACCATTTTAAAGCTACCTATGTAATCCGCATCCTTGATAAGATTGCTATATGTCCAAGGAAGTCCGTAGAGTCATCCAAGAAGATATAACTGATTAGCAGACTTTTTTCTTTTCTTTTCTTTTCTTCTTTTTTTTTTTTTTTTTTTTTTTTTTTTTTTTTTTTTTTTTTTTTTTTTTTTTTTTTTTTCTGGTTGTTTGCAGGGGATGAAGCTTCTCCCAACTGGTCGGAAGAACTCTCTTGCAATTTTTGTGTACTCGTCTTTGGTATGTATCAAATACAAAGCTCAGTTATTTGCCTTTCTCTGTTTTTCATTTACATGATTATGATCCATGTAATTCTTACAATTTATCAGGTTGGTTTGGGATCTTTTCTCCTCCGCTACATACCTGGGTTATTGCGTTCAGTACTCACCGAGATCGGAGTTAGTGAAGACATGTATAATCCTGTAAGTGATCTTGAATTATTCTGATAGTTGCCCTGGTATGTCCACCATAAAGCAAAATGCCTTTGTAATTTTCCATCCAGATTATTCGATTACATATCTTGGTCATGTTTTGCTGAAAGCCTTTATTATATTTGAAATTATTTGTGATTTCTGTTTTGCTACTTGTGGGAAGCTACCACATTGGTCATTTCTTTATTTTCATCTTCTGGAATTGTTGAGTTAGCTGGTTTACTTGGCCAAATATAGTGATTAATTATTGTTTTTTGTTGCAAGTTTTAACAACCATAACAATCGAGGGCACTATGGAAACTTCAGTTGAATACCCAATGAAGCTGGCCTTAGAGGTTGTTTTTATTTACAATTAAGTTATTGTAGGTAGTTTCAAGTTGCTTTATTGAAAAAAGAAGGTAGTTTTAAGTGATCTGCCTGGAATAATCAATAAACAGCCATCTATTAGGGGAAACAAATTCTCTCGTATCTGCATGGACTTCGGCATAAAGTTGCATATGCTCTAATAAGATATAAACCGGTAAACATCGTTTCCCAACAAAGTATGAATTGTTAAATATCTCTCTCTAATAAAATATGAACACTTTGATATGCTTTTTGGTTTTGATGTACTCTGTATTCTCTTTCAGGTAAGATGTGCTTATAATTCTGCACTACTCCATTACTCTTACCATCTTGGATTTTAGTTTTATTCAGGTGTGTACTAATTGATGCCAAATCAAAATTCAAGTTTTTGAATGGCATGATACCTCGGAGGCTTAGAAGCACACTGTCGTTTTTTACATGTGTCATCTGATATTAGTTATTCTTGTTCTTGCTTTTGCTATATTACGGTTTTCATCTTGCATCTGAGGTTTTAGTCACTTGAGGTGTGTAATGGTTGATGGATCAGAAAAAAAGGTTATTGATTCTCAAGATACGCCTGAAGGGTCATTGATGCTAGTTATTGTTCTTGTTGCTTTTATTATATTTAGGTTATATGTTTTGTATGTGGGACTCGCATATCTTTTTCTTTGGGTAAATTACTTTATGAATAGACTTTACATTCTTCATTCACATGATACCCTGGAGTTGACCTTTGTATCATATGAATGATTTAAGAGATCTTGCTGCACCTTATTTTATTTTTGTTGCGACCCAAACACTAAGGATTATGCAGTAACTGTTGGGGTAATACTTTGGAAATGTTTTAAATGTTTTGCAGTTGGCTATATTTCTTCTGGCTTTTGTTTTTCTGGCTGGAGCATGGTTGGGCTTCTGGGCAGTCCGCAAACTGGTTCTGACAGAAGATGGATCAATTGATATAATGACATCTCAGTTTGTTTATTGGTCCATCCAAATTGTGGGTGCTCTTATGACTTTTCAGGTATGTTGTATCAGCCTACACTTCAATTATTGTCTATCAAAATTTCAATAGCAGTGAACATGTAAATGTCTCATTTTCTAGAAAGTGATTTTTTTTATATCCCTTTGCTTTCAGAGTTCTGCTGATCACCTTCTGGCAGCGGAAGCTACAGTATTTGGATTCTTAGCATCAGTAATATTGAAGAAAATCTTTAGATGGAGATTCCTCCGTCGTGTGTACAGGTATCTGTCTTTCCCGTTCTGGAGCTTAGTCATGGCCTTCCATTACTATGATCTGCCATCATTTCCTTCGTCAATATCTACAATGTAAGTAACCACCAAACTATTCCTTTGTCATTATCGACAATCTAAGTAAACACTTACTTCGGAGTTGTCTCCAGATGCCAATAATGCTTAAAGCGCGAATAGGTACAAGTGTGGGTGTTATAACAAAAATGGATACTCATTTCTCATTGTTCTAGTAATCAAAAGGATAATATATAACTTGTGGATGTTATACATGCTTGTAATGATCTTTTGAATTCTCCAAACTTGTATCACATGATCTACAGTTTCATAATTCATGCATGTTTCTTAACTTTCTTTCGATTTTTTGTGATTTTATTTGGCCATTCATGATATGTACGAAATGTTCCTGCAGGAAATTGTCGAAATCACCCAGAAAGAACAGCAGAAGATTGGAGATTCCTGATTCTCCACCTTCTCCGCCTTCTCCACTGTCAGATTCGGGGTTATTTGCTTCTACCTTCCACACCACACCTGAAAGGAGAAAATTCTCAAAAGAAGAGTGGGAAATGTTCACCGCAGAGACGACAAAGCAAGCCTTGCAAGAACTTGCTTCTTCTCCTGATTTTCACAGATGGTGCTCCTCAAATGTCGAAAGAATCAGTGTAGGCCCCCGGAGCACGAGAAAAGTTGCTGATCAACCGCGCCGTTGGTGGCTTCTTTAGTGGTGCTAGGCAAGCAGCTGACAACATTTCCTTCGCAATGTCGGCATGGGCAAAGTTAAGTTGGAAAGAAGCCGAGATGCGTGTTTGGACATAGTCTGGAAAGAAGAAGCAGGAACAACTGTGATGTTGTAAATTCCATAGTTTTGTGCGGTTCATTATTTTTGAGCAACCTGTAGGCTGTATGGAACAAATCGTTGTTTAAGTTAACAGTAGGCTGATTTTTTGGCTCTCTCTCGCAATGATGTAACCCGGAAATCTAAAATTTTCAATTTGTAGTATTACTTGTACAATTTATTTTGTGATTAACATTCAAAAAATTAAATTATATATATTTCTTTTTCTGTGGGATTAAATGCTGTCTGTTTCTCATTTGCAATTCTTAATGGGAACTGAGTTACTTGTCAAGCGCCAACGTTGATACGAAGTGTTTTTGTCAAACTTTTTTGTTTTTAGATAAAAATGTTTTCTTAATGAAGAGAATTACGAAAATATCTTCTGTGAATATCAACACCCTTATCGAGGGTGTATATGTCTATCATTTTCTATGAAAATTACAATTAAAAATGAAACTATTTCCTAAAAATCTTATAACTGTATAAACAAATTTCAATATTAAAATAGGAAAAGAACATATATGCATCTATAAACAATCTATTTTCCATCTTGACCAAAAAAAAAAATCTATTTTCCTCCGCATCAAAAAAATAATAATCTATTTTCCATCTTGACCAAAAAAAAAAACAATCTATTTTCCTCCGCATCAAAAAAATAATAATCTATTTTCCTATATTTTCGTTTTGGTTATGATAGAGGGATCCGGATCCTCCGTTCTGATTTTCTTTGCTTTACTTTTGTTCTTCACACGCCACCTTATTAAAATTTAATTTAATGGACTTAAAAGTTGACATATTATTCTTCAAGCAAAAACCCAATTTACTCCTAATTAAAAGAGAAAAAACAATATCATGACGTCAAACTTAATGTCCTATCCCTTTCTTCTTCTTTTTTCTTCCTTCTTGTCACACGTTTTCTTCCTATCTATAATCACAACACGTTTTCTTCTTGTTTATAATCACAATCCATTTTGGTTGTTACAACGTTTGTTTAGTGGTGGAGTTTGTTTACTCCTTAAACTTGTACGCTATTTTCAATTTGCACTCTCAAATCTTTCTTTTTTTTTTCTAGAAAATTAGGTACATTGAACTAATTTTTATTGCCAATTCCCCCTATCGTCTAAATCAACACCATCTCATTCAATAATCCGTCAAATCATTAAAAAAAATTAAAAAAAATTAGAGAAAAAGAGAACAAAAATAAAAAAGAAAAAAATTCCTAGGGACCCACCCTGCGGTTTTCTTCCCCTCCCATTCCTCGTGATCATCACTCTTCACTCCTTCCCCCATTCCCCCATGACCACCACCTGCAAACTCCAGCCCCCAAACGAACCCAGAACCCACAGATTGCTTCTTCCTCAATATCTCCGACGCATACTTGTAGGCTCCTTAAGCAATATCCATGTCCATCAGTTTCTGAAGCACCATTTCCAATGTTGTAATCACCCAACTCAAGCATTTTAAGGAAATCTATTTCTGATTAAACCCATTTTAAGCAATCAAAAACCCAACTCGTGAAACCTAACTGTAGTAATATACCACCGCATCTATCAACCAAACTGTTTAAATCTTGAAATGTGGTGGATGGCCTGATAAATGTAAGGAACAAAACAAATAACAAAAGATTTTTAAGTTGACCAAATAATTTTCATCTTCTGTAAGCTTGGAAACCAAGAACAAGCTAAGCAGCAGACAAATCAAATCCATATCACCAGATTTCTTCTCCCTCCCCCCTTTCTGTTTTTTCACCCCCCATCCCCCGCGTAATCAATTGTAATTTGTCACACCAAAAACAAAAACATCAATTGCATAGTCAAAATAATGATCCAAAAAACTAGTTCTGATCCCAAATCTTAGCCGTTTTCCTTGACCTCGGTATTTCTTTTGCTCCTCTCTCTGCCCCCCACCCCAGAACCCCAGCCCGCAACCACCCATTTTCTTCTCCCCCATGACCACCACCGCAAGCCGCTCTCTCCACTCTCCACCCCACACCCACCCCCCCCACCAACAGACCTTCCTCGCCTCCCTTTTTTCCCTTCTCTAACTCTCTCTCTCCCCCTCCAACCCCCTTCTCTCTCCCGCATTCGGGCTCAAAGAGATGAAGTGGATGGGCCCCGGTTTACAAGAAATGATTTTATTTTATTTTTTTATAATATATTTTTTTAAACAAATAAAAAAACTAATTTACCCTCACATTTATCTCAAATTGAATAAAATGTGCTGATTTAGAAAAAGGGGGAAATTGACAATAAAAATTAGTTCGTGTAGCTATTACGTTTCAAGACCTGGATATTGGGATTGTTTTGTAAGGTCTATTGACTGATGAGTTATGGTTATTTTCCCGTATCAATGGATATGGAAATATTTATATATTTTTTTATTTTGATAGAGGAAAGAGAAGGGATTGTGATTGCAGAATTTTTGGAGAAACGGCAAGAAGAAGACGTGCTAAGGTAAGACGGTCGGAAAAAGAAAAAAAAAAGAAAAAAAAAAAGGGAGACGATGTTAAGTTTGATGTTAGTTGGGTTGGGGTATTGTTTTTCTTTTTTTAATTAGGAGTAATTTTTTGTTTTTGTTTGAAGAATGATGTGTTAACTTTTAAGCCCCTTAAATTAAACCTTAAAGAGGTGGCATGTGGAAGACAAAAGTCAAGCAGATTATGGTAGAGAAAGTCAGAGCAGAGAATCCGAGTCCATGATAAAAACCACAATTGACTTTTCAAAATGAGTTACTTGAGTGTGAGATAAATGCAAAGAATTTCTATGTAATGAGAATATCATGCAAAGAATTTGTATATAATGGGAATATCATTGTTTTGCTATTCTGACCAATTACATTCCCACTATGGGGAAAAATTATCACATACATGATGAAACATTGGAAATAACAAAATAGGTCTATTCCCACAAAATAGAAGTTTTTCTCCTTTATGACCGAAGCTATTCTATTTGTTTTCATTAATATTATCCTACTCTCTATTTATGTGGAGGAAAATAATTTGAAATTTAGTTAAAAGTCAACAATTGAAAAGGAGAGATTGATATTTCCATTGTTTGGCAACTTAACGTAAAACTCGGGGGTTTTTCGATATAGGTCCAAATTTGAGTTTGCACTATGAATACAGTTTATCTCTCTTTTGATGTAGAATTGGATCCATTGACTCAACAAGCCAGCCAACTATGCAAAGCCTTGGCCACTGTTTTTAAAACATTTACACATGTTGCCATTGTACAATCAATTCTCTAAATTTTATTAATTATTGCAATCAATAAATTAATATCACATTTCTATTATTAATCTCAATTTATCAAACGCTTTCAACCAGTGAATACCTTATGGCGAGGTATGTATGTCTTTGGGTGGTTTGATTTACCTGCTTTGCAAGTTTGTGTATACCTCCTTCATAGGTAATTTCATATCATATATCTCCTCCATAGGTAATTAACATTCAAATGTATACCTCCTCCATAGATAAATAGCATTCATATGTATACCTCCTCCATAGGTAATTTACCTATCCATACCTAATTAACATTCATGTATATTCCTGGTTCATAGATAATTATACCTCCTCCATAGGATTGTAAGAAGAAAAAGAAGGAAGAAGAAAGAAGAAGATGAACAAGATGAAGAAGGAAGATTATAGGAAATCTATTTATTTTTATTTTTTTATCAGCGCATGTTTATGAGATTTTCAAAATTAAAATGGATAGACAAGAAAATATTTCTTTTGCTCCCCAAAAAAAGAACCTAACTATAACCGAAACACCAAAAAAAAAAAACAAAATAGGTCTATTCCCACAAAATAGAAGTTTTTCTCCTTTATGACCGAAGCTATTCTATTTGTTTTCATTAATATTCTCCTATCTCTGTTTATGTGGAGGAAAATAATTTGAAATTTAGCTAAAAGTCAAAAATTGAAAAGGAGAAATTGATATTTCCATTGTTTGGCAACTTAACGTAAAACTCGGGGGTTTTTCGATATAGGTCCAAATTTGAGTTTGAACTATGAATACAGTTTATCTCTCTTTTGATGTAGAATTGGATCCATTGACTCAACAAGCCAGCCAACTATGCAAAGCCTTGGCCACTGTTTTTAAAACATTTACACATGTTGCCATTGTACAATCAATTCTCTAAATTTTATTAATTATTGCAATCAATAAATTAATATCACATTTCTATTATTAATCTCAATTTATCAAACGCTTTCAACCAGTGAATACCTTATGGCGAGGTATGTATGTCTTTGGGTGGTTTGATTTACCTGCTTTGCAAGTTTGTGTATACCTCCTTCATAGGTAATTTCATATCATATATCTCCTCCATAGGTAATTAACATTCAAATGTATACCTCCTCCACAGATAAATAGCATTCATATGTATACCTCCTCCATAGGTAATTTACCTATCCATACCTAATTAACATTCATGTATATTCCTAGTTCATAGATAATTATACCTCCTCCATAGGATTGTAAGAAGAAAAAAGAAGGAAGAAGAAAGAAGAAGATGAACAAGATGAAGAAGGAAGATTATAGAAAATCTATTTATTTATTTATTTTTTGTATCAGAGCATGTTTATGAGATTTTCAAAATTAAAATGGATAGACAAGAAAATATTTTATAAATTCAAATTATAATTAACTAAAAGTTCAAATATAGTAATTATTGGCCTAAAATTAATTTCTTACCCGTTTGTGAATTGCAATCAGAATCAATAGTTGTATTAATTAGCTAATTATTATGATATAAATTAGTCTTTCCCGATTTAAATCATAAGGGCATAATTGGAACATGAAAATAAATTTATATGATACATCATAAAATTAGAAAATGAATGTAATTCTATGTGGCATTGAAGTTGGAGGACTTGGATTACTAACAATACGTGTGTGGATTGCACCCAAATTCTATCATAAGAATTGGACTTATACCGAATTACTATACAATTTTCAATTCATTCATCCAAACGCATGCTAGTTCTTATCTTCCATTATTTTCTTCATTAAAAAAATTTCCCATTTTCGTATGGATTAACACCAAACAAGAATCTTTTATCTTATAACAAGAAACCCCTAATTTTTCTGATACAACCAGTGT